ATTATTTTCAAGTAGGGCTGATGCTTTTTCTTTGTAGCCTAGAAGAAAAGAGATCTATGTAATCGCAGTGTCAAAATGTCAAAAGACTGAGATAGGTTGGAAAAAAGAAAAGGAAGGAAAATACAAAAAACAAAACAAAACAAAAAAAAACCTTAAAGGCATCCATACAGTCCTCAGCCTTACAAATTCTTGGCTCACATAGAATACTTGTGACATGCTGTAATTAACTAGTTACTCCTCTCAGAATGAATAATAATGCAATTATTTGCCAAAAGCAGTGAAGAAAGGATAGTGTCTGTTTTTAAAAATATCTGCCTTTCATTTCTGTAGAAAGAAAAACCCTGGATTAATTTACATAAGCTGCTAAAGCACAGAGTGACCTGCAATTTCACCATTACACTATATGATAATTCTGTCACCTTTTTATTGGAGCCTTATATTTTTCAATGGTTTGAAACAGCAATAAACTGACAAGTCACTACCATGTTTAAATTATACTGATTCTTAAAAACTGCACCCAACTGCCATAAAATGTAAGCAATAACCCTCACGGTGAAACACGTCCTTTTCACAACTGCCCTTTGATGCCATTAAGACCCCTAAGGGCTATTGCTCTGCTTCCTTTGTCTGTAGGGCACAAATTATAGGAAGGAGGTAGGAAACCTTTTTCAAATGCCAGGTAGCACAGAGCTGGGTGAGAGTTTATATGAACATATCACTGGTTCTTTCTCCTATATGTTAATTTCTAGACAATGACTGTTCTCTTTAACTTCATCCAAGTCCATCCTGCCAGTCTCTCAGTAATTCATTCAACAATCATTTATTGATGACTTGCTATGATGCCCTCCATCAGGTTCCAGAAATTTGAAGGTAAAAAATCCACATTGCCCTTAAGAAAGTTGCAGAAAGTGAATGTATAAACTAATAAATTGGCACATCGACAATGCAGTAATGCTACCACAGAGCCCACTCTCCACACATGGACACAAATTCATTTACTCATACCAACACACAAAATCTTTCTCCCCTGTGAATCTGAACTTCCAAAAATTCCAAGCTCTTTAAATGTTTTGAAGCAGCGACTTGGAGAGGATGTGTTACTAAAATTTATAATTCAGTAGTGTCATTTAGAGTGTATGTGTGTGTAGACGTGTGTGTCTGTCTACTCATGTGTTTTTATAAAAAGTAGAAACAGCTTTATGTAGAATTTTGTCAAGGATACAATAGTCTAAACAATCGATGCCTTCTGGAGCAAGATTGATTCAGTATATATCAATTTGGTTTTTGTTTTTGTTTTAATTTTTTTAAATGTTCTTATTTATTTCTGAGAGAGATATAGAGATAGTGTGAGCGTGGGAGGGTCAGAGAGAGAGGGAGATACAGAATCTGAACACAGGCTCCAGGCTCTGAGCTAGCTGTCAGCACAGGGCCGGACGCAGGGCTCGAACCCACGAACTATGAGATCATGACCTGAATTGAAGTCGGACGTTTAACGAGCTGAACCACCTAGGCACCCCAGTACATATCGATTTGTTATTCATTGTAATAACCAGCTATTAGTTCAGAATGCCTTCACATGAATATTTACTGATACATCCTTATGATACTAAAATGTCTGGATCACTTGTTTGGGAAGTCAGATACTAAGAGTCGTGATTTAAATTCATAAAATCATAATAAATATTCTAAGAGTAGACATCGTATTTTTTCAAGTCCTGTTCATGCAAGGTATTCTTTTAATTAGTAAATAGTAGGAATTCAGATCTGCTTTATTTTTCATTGAATAATGTGTAGAACAGTACAGGTTCTGATATCAAACTGTCGATACTGGAAGTTAGGTTCTTCCCTGTACAAGCTATGTGACCTCTCCAAGCTTCAATTGTCTCATGTATAAGATGGAGATAATAATAGTAGCTACCTCATAGAGACGGAAAAATGAAGGAGTTAGCTGCATATAAAGCACATAGCACTGGGGGTGTCTGGGTGGCTCAGTCGTTGAGCATCTAACTCTTGATTTTGGCTCAGGACATGATCCCAGGGTCAAGGGCTCACACTGAGCATAGATAACCTGCTTATGATTCTGTCTCTCTTTGTCTTTCTCCCCTGCTCATGCTTGCTCTCTCTCTCAAATAAAAAAAAATAAAAATAAAGCATACAGCAGTGGGACAGGCACTATCATTAAGTAAGGTAGTATTATTATTGTCATTATTTGACCTCAGTGAGAGCATTTAGTATCTGCCACGAAATTATTTTTTTATGTTTTTATGGCAATATAGTAATGATAATTTATATTATTTTTATCCTTTAAGAATATAGAAGCATGTCACTATATTTATTCATTTCATTTATTTATCTATTAACATGCTGTTATTGAATGATGAGTGTATGCAAGGTATTGGATGGGGCAGGGAGTACAAAGATAATTTAGCTACTACCAATAGAGTTTCAGATGATGGTCCTAGAATCCTGCATGGTTTTCTAACTAAGTTTAATAAACTCAGACACAAAAAAAAATGACTTGAAGATACCTGCAAAGCCCTTGTTATATAATTTACTCTTTAGATAGATGACAAAACATGACTTCTCTCTCTGTTATGCTGCTAGGAACAGATAATTATTTTGGTGTCTTTCAAGGAGATAGTCTCCAGAATCTAACACAACAGTAAACTGGCTTAAGATAAATAAACCAACTTTTAAAAAATAAACAATGTCAGTCTCCTTCCCACTTTATTTACTACAAACTGTGAAGGAGAACAAGGCTGATCTACAAAATCACTTCCCCAAATTCACCGTGAAAAGGACCAAAACCTCTTTGAATATGTAGGCAGCTCCCAATCCCAGATATTTCAGATGCCAAGAATCAGCCCAGGTTGCAATGTTGTGATCGCAGCAGTAAGATCATGGCCAAGGTAAGAACACCATTCTTCACTGACTTAAGCATTTGGAGATGGTTACCATCTGTCCTAACTATTTGTTCCTAAATAGGCGAAAGTAAAAATAACCAAGTGTTCCTAAAGCAATTCTCTTACAAAAAAAAAAAAAAAGAAAGAAAAAGAAAAAATTAAGTGCATTAGCACAATTTCTGCCAGCATTTTTAACAGAGATCTAGGTAATTCTGATACAGATGGTCTGAGGACTACACTCTGAGAAGCACTGATGTGTAGACAAACCCTCTCTCACTTAATCAACACATGGATCAAGCAGTGATTCCCAGGAAGTGAATCTGGTGCCAGACCAACTGCCTAAGAAGACAGAATCGTAGTCTCTAGCCCCAGAGTTACTGGGGCCCAGAAACTTGCTGATAATTTGTATATTTACATGTTTTCCAGGATATTCTAACATACAGCCAATGGTGAGAGGAAAGGGGCTATATATTACTTTAACACATCCATAGGTGGTCCTTGTTCCACAATTTGCTAGCTCTCTGACCTTATAATTGTTCTATCATTGAACAATAAAATAGCTGTTGTAAAAATTAAATAAAGCAATGCATGTTAAGAACCCAGCATGTAGTAAGTTGGTTGTTATTGTTATCATCATATGTCCAGCTCTAAGTAAGATAATACAGAAGTAAAATGTGTGCTTCACCACTATAAGAAGGATATAATCTATTTAGAAAAATAATATAAATATTAATAGAAATTTAAAATATGAGTTTATACTCTAAAGCAGTAATATATTTACACACATGTAAAAAATACTCTAAGTAACAAAGTAGATTGTAATATACAGAGAATTATAATATGGAAACATAGGAAAAGTCATATAAAGTTTGCTTTAGAAATAACAAACAAATAAAATGTCTAATACTGGGGTGCCTGGGTGGCTCAACTGGTTGATCATTCAACTCTTGATTTTGGCTCAGGTCCATGATCTCATGATTCTTGGGATCAAGCCGTGATTGGGGCTCTGCGTTGATAGCAGGGAGCCTGCTTGGGATTCTGTCTTTCCCTCCTTCTCTCTGTCCTTCCCCTGCTCACACACGTGCTTTCTCTCTCTCTTGAAAATAACTAGATAAACTTTAAAAAAAAATAATAAAACTTATATAATTCTTCTAATTCAGGCACCCTAATTCTCACTAATTCACCATTTTTAATGTATATTATAAAAATATTTAAATCATGAGTGGTACTCAACTTGTACTTATTACTTAAAACGAGAATTAGAAAAAGTATATATCCGGGAAAGGAGTCCATGGAGTAGGTGGCAAGGGGCCCACAGAAACTTTGAAATTTCATGCAAACAGTTGTTTTCTGTGAGTATGAATATTTCTGAGGAAAGAGTGGTACCTTTCATTTGACTCTCATAGGGTTTTGTGCTCCCTCAAAAATGTTAAGGACCATCAGAGTCCTGTTTTAGACCATGTCCTGTGCAGCCTCATGTATGCTGAAAAAAATATAACTCCTGACTGCATTCCAAATAATCTCCTTGCTTACTTTTGTGTACATGTCCTTTGAATCATGTTCTTCATGCTGTCACCATTCGTATATCCTGAGAATAGAAGTCACACAGTAAGACCTTATTTGAGGAAATTGTAAAGCAGACCTTCATGCCTCCCTCAACCTATTCAAGTTCTACAGGCATCAGCGTGGAAGTTCATGTACCTGTTTTAAAAGTTCCAGTGGCTGAGATTTACTGATGATTATATTCCCTTTTTATTATTTTTGTATCCCTTTCTCAGTCTTTGAATTATTTTCAATTAGTCCTGTGCTTCTTTTCATCTCAGGTAGAAAAGGGAAGAAACTTCCCTGGAAGGATACAATTCACTTTTGCTAACTAGTATATTGCCGGCCCTGCAATTCTTCCACTTTGTTTCATTTATAGTGTAAAACAACACTATTGATGTTAATTGGTATATAACATTATATAAGTTTCAGGCGTACAACATTATAATTCGATATTTGTATATACTTCAAAACGATCACCATCATAAGCCTAGTTGCCATCCATCACTATACAATTAAGCTCCTTCACCCATTTTTATTTCTCGTTTCCTACAGGTGTGTGTGCAACATCGACTGCTCTCAAACCAATTTCAATCCCCTCTGTGCTTCTGATGGGAAATCTTATGATAATGCATGTCAAATCAAAGAAGCATCATGTCAGAAACAGGAGAAAATTGAAGTCATGTCATTGGGTCGATGTCAAGGTAATGTTCGTACCAAAATTCATTTCAACGAATGATTTTAGTCTAAGCGTAGAAGTGAAGAGTGAAGATAACTCCTTATTAGGCAAGCTATTTCATTTCCGGAAGACAGTTCTGATTTATAACGGGAAGTAGAGTCTACTGTAGCATTTATGGTGATTATAGGAATCTCAGGGTCTGTCAGCAACAGTTCATATCTTTTCTCTATATAATGGGGCTGTATCCTCACAATGTTGTAAACACAGACGCCTGTATTCAGCAGACATTCTCCACGCAGAAGGGAAAAAAAAAAAAAGCCAGTCATTTTTAGCAAAAATGCTGAGGATTTATTAGCAAACCTTGAAATTAAAAACAAATGGCACCCTTTTTATGTATTGATTTCAATAGAAATATTTCAAGTACATTTTTAAAGTAGAATGTACTAGAATGTTCTATTTTGTTTCTTATTCAGAAACAAACATTTTCTGGCTTTTTAACTTGTTATTCTTTTGTCCACCTTATCTCAGTTATAATTGTGAACCTACTCTGCCCTGAACTTTAGAAAGCTGATATCATTCTATTATTCACTCTCAAACAAATTGATACAAATCTGTCTTTGTGTACATGTTGCTTAGAACTATAGTTGTAAAATTTCCTTAGTTGCCATGAAGGTACTATCAGAGGAATAATATAAACTTTGACATTAGATGTTTAGGATACAGTTAATCAATGTTTTAATTGTTAATTTTTTTAACGCAGATAACACAACTACCACTACTAAATCTGAAGATGGGCATTATGCAAGAACAGATTATGCAGGTACATATAATATTTTCTACTACAGAATATGAGCACTTCTATAAAAGAGTTCTGAAGGAATCATTTTTACCATTGATCTTAAGTTGACTATTCCAAGGTTTCTGACATGTGTTAATATTCTCTTGCTTAAGTTCAAACCTTCAATAGGCAATAGTGAATTTTTGTTGAAGCAAATAAAATACTTTTTTTTTTTGCCAGAGTTAAAGCAATTGTCAAAAATGTCAGTAAGATATAACTAACTTGTTTTGACAGTGCAAATCGTACAAATGACAAAACATTTATCAAATTAATGGGCGTCAATGGAAATTAATGCAGTTTTTGGCAGTATATTGTGATGAATGCAAACGTTCTTGTTTGAATTTTCATTAAAGTCAACAATAAAAAACTTTGCTAGTCTCTAAAAAAACTAGAAAGGACAGCTATAAATAATAATACAGTCTATCTCTCTTTAGTGCAATGTTAAAAAGGTAGGCATAAATTATTTTTAAAATAATTAATGTCTTTAAAACTACAATGTAGCTTCTGACTTACACAGAGTTATCAAGTATTTATATAAAAATGTATATTTTATTAACTCTTATAGAATGTTATATTGAGAATGATTTCTATCTAATGTAATTTTTCTAGAGTGAGCAATAATTTATGGACATGCAAATAAGATTTTAACAGATCATAAATTTTATTAAAATTTCGGGTTAAAATATAAAATAGTGATGATGATAATGATATGTAGATTTTTTTTATTTTTTACTTAAAGAATTTTTTCATTTAACTATCAAACACTTGTAACTAAATTTAGTCAACCAAACATGCTTCTATCTGTATTATCATTCATTTTTTTTCAGGAATTGCATTTTCCTTAACAGTATTTCTGGCATTTTATTTATATACAAAATTAATCCCAATGAAACTGAAGTAAGGTAATCAGATATTGTACTATGGCTACCTCACACCTCTCAGAATTTGGAAGTAACAAAAGAAATCCTTTTTAATTTTTCATTTTTATCTTCATGATTTTCAACATGTAACTAAAACTTGGTATGCGCTAGAAGCCTGGAATCATCATAGACAGTAATGCCTGGAAAAACATTAGTTCTACTATTGTATAGCTGTTCTCAAATGCCCAGCTGAGATATTAGCAGGTGTTCCTTAAAAAAAAAAAAAAAAAAAAGTCTATGGTCAGTTAGTTTGGGAAGAGCCCAGATAAACAAATGACATTCTTACCCAGAGCACCTCACAGCTCTTTCTGTGCACTGTAAAATTTTTCAGAGATATGCATCTTTTATTTATTTATTTTCTTTACTTTTTGTTCTCATACATACAAAATGCACACAAACGTAGGCTGGATAGTACAATGAACCAATATGTATTTGTCACTCCAATGCAGTAGCCCAGCCCCATCCCCAAATGCATCCCTTTTCCGCATTTTCAGTATGTGTGGAAAGAAATCCCAAAAGTTGCATCATCTTATTCATAAATACTTTAGCCTGCAAACTCTAAAAGATGCACTCTTTTTAAACAAAATTGCATTGCCATCACACCTAAAATAATTATGAATAAGTCCTTATAATATATACCTTTTATCAAACTTATTTGATAAATAACACATGTTTTGGGGGCACTTTTACAGTACTAATGTTCCTAGCAATGCACTTTGGACTATGCTGATCCACAGGAAAGTATTAAAAGCAATAAAAGATAATGAAAAATCAAAGTCTGAAGCTAATAATATACATTTTAAATATTAAATGAAATCAAATTTAAATTCTATATTTTATTCTAAACAATAGCTATATCTTGAAGGTATTATAAAGCCTTTACCTGGCATATTTAATTTTACTGTAGCCTAAAGTATTTGAAGATTTCATAAGGATTTCACTTTCATATAAGGAGTAACTAACTGTGCTTAAGATGCCTTTATACCTAGTTGGCAAACTAATTCCCTTGGGAAAAACGTCTTCAAAAATGTAATATTATATGAAAATGTTCTCTACTGAACCATCCATCATTGAACTCATAGGAAACTCAAACCTCTCCCTGAAACAAAGAACTTTTCAAGTTGATTAGCATCAATATGCAAATATATGTGAGTTTACAAAATTGTACATTAAATATAATGGAGTTTACCACTCTCATTGTCATTCATATTACATATTTACAGTTTGCCACTTCTAACGAGTTTGGGAGTTGAAATTTTGTTCATATTTGTTCATATTTGAATTTGTTTTCAAACAGATGATTTCTGATCTTCTATGTCAGTGCTTTCAGCTGGCATTATTCCCTATCTTATCACTTTATTGAACATGAGAAGGAAAGAAGACGCGTTTTTAAGTCCATGCAAATGAACATTATTCAGACCTTCTGTGTTGTCCAAGTTCTTCTAGTTTGACATCAGATTAATTTAGTAAATTCCAAAGAAAATTTTAAAGATAAAAGTAATGTTTCAAAATACATGTTTGCTGAAATCCACATTTAAGACAGGAACAAAGATAATGTCGATTGAAGCTTGCAATTTCTAATTAGCCATTGATTGCATACTTTAAAACTCCCATGGAATTTAGGTGTCTTTATCTTCATTTTCTTTGGCAATCTTATTAAAATACAATGGATACCCCTTGTTAGATATTATTTAAATAATAGCCTTGTTCCTCAACATTTCTAGGCTCCTAATAGTATTTGCATTTTCATAAATTTTGAGATAAAACTTTGGGAAAATAAAAGGAACCAAACAGAGACTCAGTATGTCATTGTCCTTTTAATTTCTGTTTCATATTTTCAAAACTCCCCAAGGAGGGAAAATAGAAACTGTGTGACTCATATTCCTAGAAGTTTGCTATGTGCTCACAAGCTCATTAAATGTCACAGTCACTTCCCCTGTTTGACAAACATCCATGGATGCTCCCGGTGAAGGGAAATACCAGTCTTAACACTCTCATTTTCTTCTTAGATGTCCTTAATACCATAGGTGGAAAACCTTTACTAACAGTCCCTTGTCTCCCCTTTGCGCCTACCTGAAATACAACAACACACATTTCTGATCACAAAAATGAAAATATAAAGAGAGCCTAAATCTAAAAATAAATATCTTGTGTCTCGTATTTCATATCGTTTAAAAGAAAGAGACTGCAAGTAAGGACCAGCAAGAGCCAAGTCACAAAAAAAATAAATGGAAACTAAGAGAGCCATGCCTCTGACAGCACTAAGGAGAGGTCGACTACAGTGTGACTGAACTTGTGCAGAGCTGTGAATTGCAAGCTTCTCACAGGTATATACCTGAAATAGACAGGAGGAAGCCAAAGAATTTGCCAGATCATCCCAGCCAGCATTAGTTTTTTATTGTGCTTGACTTGGGTCTCTATTCTCCCTCTATCTTTTAATGAGACTCAAGACACTAGGGAGCCCTGAGTTAAGAGCTTTGGCTCTGTGTGTCCAAGCAGAATGACAGGACCCCTGTCTGATAAACTAAATAGTCCACTTAGGGGCGCCTGGGTGGCTTAGTCGGTTAAGCATCCGACTTTCGCTTAGGTCATGATCTCGCGGTTCATGGGTTCGAGCCCGGCATCGGGCTCTGTGCTGACTGCCAGCTTGGAGCCTGGAGCCTGTTTCAGTCTGTGTCTCCATCTCTCTCTGACCCTCCCCTGCTCACGCTGTCTCTCTCTCTCCTAGAAATAGATAAAAAACATTGAAAAAAAAAGTTTTAAATAGTCCACTTAATGTTAGTCGTCTTCATCAGTCTATGACTTGGGCTTCGATTTAGGTCTTTCTATTTACTTGCAGAAAGTCTCTGAGAACAAAATTGTATCAAGCCACAGAGCTGAACTTTCAAGGATTTCCATTGTTTCAAAATGCTAATATTAAACTTTTCTTCTGGAAGTTTTTTATAAATAGCATATTTTATAAATAGGAGATGTTTTACACCTCTTGAAATCTGCAACATTTTCTTTTTTAAAAAATTCCCACTCATTTTGATGAAAAAAGTGAAGCTCAACTATTGTGTTTTTCTTCATGTGGCATCTATATTTTCTGATTGTATTGCTTTTCTATCCAAAAGGCTGATCATGCATCAGAAAAAGTAGCTACATAATCTTCCAGTGACAATTTACTTGATTTTATAAATTGTTAGATGTAAAATATATACACATACACATGAACATACACACGAAAAGCAAATCAAACCATGAATTTAAACTATTTCGTTTTTTATCATCTAGAAAATAAAATTAGTTACCTTTTATGGCATTTTGTACCAGTTTCCAAAAGGATTTGTAGTGGCCTATAATTAAAGTATATTCAATGAGATCATTTAAAGAGAAAGTGAGAACATAAAGCACAACTGTAGAGGAAAATAGATATATCAGCAACATGGATTATTATGGTTACTGTATTTAGCCATAAGCTTCCTTGCAACCACTGTATAAAAAGGAAACATGATGAATTGTTTCAATCAGCACATATTTAGAGACCCTGCTATATGTACTCCACTGGGTTTTACAAAGGTGAACATATCCTTCTAGGTCTCTGCTAAAATGCAAGCCAGGCTTTCATTGTCTGATAAAAATAAATAAATAAATAATCAGTTCAGAAACCAAACACATAATTTCTCTAATGCTAAGTTCTAAAAGAATATTTGGCATAGATCTTCTTATGAGGCATCACTGGAAAATGTAGAATGTATGATATCTTTAACAATGATTTTTATGAAATTTGCCTATAGGCTTTTCATATGGCTGGGGGAGATTTTTTTACATAATAATTTTCTATAAATTCTAGAGCATAGAATTAGGATATGTGTAACTCAATGATAGTCTCTATGTGGCAGATTAGAAAATGAGTTATATTTATGTATATTTCCAAACTGGAAAAAAAAATAAATAACAGAATACTAAGGGAAATGGCTGTGAGAGAGAATGTATTCAGCCTATCTTCCTCATGTGTCTACAGATTTAACAGAATTATTCTGGATTAACAGAATAGTCAGAAAGCCCAAGTAAAGATAAAGA